TTTGATAGTTTGGATATTCTCTCTGTCTTTTACTGAGTTTGGATAAAGTTTACTATATCTTGTTGATTTTTCTCAAATATATACAGCTCTGTTTCATTAATTTTCAGCTTCTATTTTATTAATTTCAGCCCTCAGTTTATTTCATGCCGTATCTTCCTCTTGTGTGTGCTTGCTTCATTTTGATCTAGGGCCTTCAGATGTGCTATTAAACTGCTAGTATGAAATTTCTCCAGCTTTTTTATTTAGGCATTTGGTGCTATAAATTTTTCTCTTAGCACTGCTTTCATTGTGCCCCATAAATTTAAGTATGTTGTGTATTCATTTTCATTGAATTCTAAGAATTGTTTTATTTTTTCCTTATTTCTGTCTTGACCCAGTAGTCCCTCAGTGGAGAGTTGTTCAATTTCCATTAGTTTGTAGGCTTTCTGTTAGTTTTGTTGTTGAAATCAGCTGCAATCTATGCTGGTCTGATAGGATGCAAGGAGTCATTTCAATCTTTTTGTATCTTTTGAGACTTGGTTTATGACTATGTAGTCAATTATGGAGAATGCTGCATGAGGTATTGAGGTATATTCCTTTGTGTTTGGGTAAAATGGTTCTGTAGATACCTGTTAGTCCACTTTGTTTATAATGTCTGTTAGCTCAGTATTTCTCTGTTTAGTTTTTTTCTGAATGACCTGTCTGTTGATGAGAGTGGTGTATTTGAGTCGGTCACTATCAATGTGTGAGGGTTGATGTGTAATTTAAGCTTTAGTACTATTTCTTTTACAAAAATGGGTGTCCTTGTGTTGGAGGCATAGCTCCTAAGAATGGAAATGTCATCTTGGTGGAATTTTCATTTGATAAGTATGCAGTGTCCTTCCCCATCTCTTTTGATCAATTTTGGTTTGAAGTCTATTAGGTTTGATTAGATATAGGTTTGATTAGAATAGCTACACCAGCTTGCTTCTTAGGTCCATTTTCTTTGAAAATATTTTTCTAACATTTTACTCTGAGGCATTACTTATCTTTGATGATTTTTGTGTGTTTCTTGTAGGCAACAGAAGATTGGGTATTGTTTTTGCATCCATTTTGTAAGCCTATGTCTTTTTATTAGAAAATTGAGTCTATAGATGTTCAGAGATATCAATGACCAATGTTGTTTAATTCCTGTTGGTGGTAGTGTGTGTGTATGTGTGTGTGTGTGTGTGTGTGTGTGTGTGTGTGTGTGTGTGTGTGTGTGTGCTTCCTTTTTTGGTTTGCTGGTGTAAGATTATTAATTTCCAGTATTTTCTTGGGCATAGTTAATCTCCTTGGGTTGCAGTTTTCCTTCTAATTCTGTCTATAGAGTTAGATTTGTAGATAGACACTGTGTAGCTGGAGAATTTCTCTCCAGCTCCCACCAAGTCCCGCCAGTCCTGGAGCCCACTTATAAAATAAACACACAGACTCTTATATTATTTAAACTGCTCGGCCATTAGCTCAGGCCTACTAACATTGTCTAGCTCTTACTCTTAAATTAACCCATTTCTATAAATCTATACCTTGCCACGTGGCTTGTGGCTTACCGGCATCCTTACATGCTGCTTGTCATGGTGGGGGCTGGCAGTGTCTCCCTCTCTGCCTTCCTGTTACCTCAATTCTCCTCTCTGTTAGTCCCACCTACACTTCCTGTCTGGCTACTGGTGAATCAGTGTTTTATTTATACAGAGCAATATCCACAGCAACAGTGTTCAGGTTTGATTTTATTATGGAATACCTTGTTTTCTTCTTCTGTGATGATTGAGAGTTTTTCTGAGTATAGTAGTCGGGGCTGGCATCTGATGTCTCTTATAGTCTGCAAGAAATCTGTCCAGGCCCCTCTAGTTTTTAGAGTCTCCATTGAGAAATCATGTGTAATTATAATAGGTTTGTCTTTATATGTTACTTGGCCTTTTTCCCTTGCAGTTTTTATGTATTATTTCTTGGTTCTATATGTTTAATGGTTTGATTATTATGTGGCAAGGGGACTTTCTTTTCTGTTCCAGTTGATTTGGTATTCTATAAGGTTCTTATACATTTATAGGCAAGTCCTTCTTAAGGTTAGGAAAATTTTCTTCTGTGATTTTGTTGAAAATATTTTCTGGGTTTTTGAGCTGGGATTCTTCTCCTTCATCTATTCCTATTATTGTTAGTTTTTGTCTTTATGTAATGCTTCAGATTTCCAGGATGTTTTGTGGTTTTTTGATTTTAGAAATTTTTGATTTTCAATATTTTCTTTGACTAATGTATCTACTTCTTCTATCACATCTTCAACACCTGAGATTTGCTTCTTATCCTCTTATATTCTGCTGGTGATGCTTGATTCTATAGTTCCTGGTCACTTACCTAGATTTTTCATTTCCACTGTTCCTTCAGTGTTTTTTTTTTTCTTTCTTTTTTTTTTTTTTGCTTCTATTTCCATTTATAGGTCTTGAACAGTTTTATTTATTTCCTTCAACTGTTTGCTTGTTTTTTTTTTTTTTTCTGGCTTTCATTAAGGGATTTATTTATTTCCTCTTTTTTTGTTTGTCTTTCCCTCTGATTCTTAAGGGACTTATTTATTTCCTTTTTAAGGACCTCTATCATCTCCATAATGTTGATATTAAGGTCATTTACTTGCGCTTCAGCTGTCTTGAAATATTCAGGGCTTGCTGTAATAGGAGAGCTAGGCTCTGGTGATGACTTGTTGCTCTGGCTGTTGTTGACTGGATTTTTACACTGGCACCTGTGTTTGGAGTGATTATAGGCCTAGGTGCTGAATCCTGAGTTTGTCTTTGTTCAATGAGTGTTTTGTTCCCTGGTTTCTGTTGTTTTTCAGTGGGCTTTGTGACTGAACTGAATCTACTGATATGTTAACTACTGTTTGGGGCCCCAATGTCTCTGCAGTGAGCACCCCACTACTCAGACCACAGCCTGATGGGATTTTCAGGCAACCCTTCTCCCTGGCTCTGCTGCCACCACCAAATATAGCTTTTAACTAAGTCTCTATCATTTTATTTACCAATAATAACCTGCGAGTCAGATGTTGGGATGAAAACCTGTTAGCTCAGAGAGGCAGAAGAACAACCAGCTGACCTCTCTTTTTGGTCAGAGACCCAGCAAGAGAGTGTTTCTCCAGCCATCCGTAACCAAAAAGACCATGAAACTCCAAGCCCCTCCCTACTTCTTCCTGTGAGTCTCTCTTTGTGGCATGAAACTTAAAGAGTCTTTATTAATAAAACTAACCTGGAGCCAAGTATTGGGGTGAACACTGGAAGATCAGAGAGACAGAACAAGCCACAGCTAACCTCACCTGACCAACTTCTCAGCTGATCTTGTTTCCTCAGACTGGAAGCCTCTGTGTCCTCATATCTGAATGGCTCTCAGCTGAACTGTGCTGCTCAAAACCTAAAAGCTTAACCAGCCAAATGCTTTTAGTTCCTGATCTTTACGCCTTATATACTTTCTGCTTTCTGTCTCACTCCCTGGGATTAAAGGCTCACTTTCTGGGATTAAAGGCATGTGTCACCATGCCTGGCTGTTCCCAGTGTGGCCATGAACTCACAGAGATACAGAGGGATTTCTGCCTCTGGAATGCTAGGATTAAAGGTGTGAGTGCCACCATTTTCTAGCCTTTGTATCTAGTGGCTGTTCTGTCTCTGACCCCAGATAAGTTTATTACGGCGCACAATATTTTGGGGAACACAATACCACCACACTCTGTCTTCCTGGCTCCTCCACACGTTTTATAGCTAATTCCTGTCAACCAGTTGCTGGATCTGTCCCCTGACTCAAGGCTGATCTTTATTAACACAGAGATTTCACAGTGCAAACAAATATCTCACAACCGTTTTCTGTTCCCTCTCTGGTCTTCTGGCTAGAGTGGCCTGTAGTTTAGCAGAGAGTCTCTCTACTCAAGTTGAGGACTGGGCTTCTAATGGCTGTTGTGGCTTCTGGTTAAGCCAAGGTCTCTACCCTCAGGACTTGGGACACAGTGATGAGGAGGGGTGGGGGAATTGGAGTGGGGGAGTTGAGAGGGTGAGGGGAATCACTGGGCATTCAGTTTCCCGGGAGTTTTGGCAGATGGCATGGCCACTGATCAAGCAGGGAGCATGTTTATCTTTCTTGATGAATACTAGTTTGACATGTTAAGTCCTGGTTCTATCATTTTTCAAATTATGTGCACATCTGTGCATCCATGTTTAAAGATGTGCATGAATGTTTGTGAGTACCCACAGCATTCTGAAAAGAGTATCCTGGATATTGGGCTCTGAAAATTATTGTCATTTTCATGCTCAACTAGAAGTGAAATTGCCATCCACCCACCAAAAAAAGAAGTAAATAGTTTTCTAAATGGGTTTATAAACACTTATTGTAATAGTAATTAAATCTACAGGGGCTGGAGAGATGACTCAGTGGTTAAGAGCACTGGCTGCTCCTCCAGAAGAACCAGGTTCAATTCTCAGCACCCATATGACAGATCACAAGTGTCTGCAACTCAGTTCCAGAGAATGCAACACACCCACTCAGGCATACATGCAGCCAAAACACAAATGCACATAAAATGAAAATAAATTAAATCTATAACAAATTTAAATTTTATAGTTAAAAAAATTATCTCCAGGAATGTTTTTGTTTGTAATTGGAGGCTGATTCATTTCTCACCCCACTCTGACAGCCCTCATGTAATAAATCTCATTCTGTAAGCCTTGGCATTTCTAATCCCATAGTGCTTCATGTAGCTCTGGGTTTATTGTTCACCCTTCTCAATTATGTCTCCCCTTTCTAGCCACATGACATACATTTTCCATCTGGGAGCTAGAGAAACATAGATTAATAAATACCTGCTAACTGTTACTCCTCAAAGGATGAAAACACTACCTATTCTCATGGAAGAACTGTCTATAAAACGACTGTTTTCATCTATCACACACTGTACACAGACCTGTAGGCAGCTTAATTTGGGGACATCATGAATGATAGGAAAGTAAAGCTTTAAAGTAATACAATGACCCTGAAAATTGGTGGAGAATGTGTCTTTTATTTGGTTTAAGAATGGGGCAATTTTTTATTTTTATTTTTTCTGTCTTAGCTGAAATGCAGCTCCAGGAGATTCTGAATTGCTATAGAGTAGAAGTTACAGGATAAGACATTAGCACCTGAGCAGTCTCCTGCCAGTAAACCTTCTGACAGACATCCTTACATGTTAATATTCATCAGAAAATGGATAATTAGGGTGGCCAGCAAACCTGCAGAGACAAAGAAAATGTGTAATGAATTTGATCATTCTGTTTCTACAAGGAATTATTTCTATAAAGCTGATTTTAGCTTGGAAGTATAAAATTTTCTTTTCTTAAGGCATATAATCTTCTTTTCTTACTTTCAAAACTATTGCTTTCTGCTTGTAAAGAAAATAATAGATGAATGATTCAGATTATCCTGCTTTCCCTAGTACTCGACATATAAAAATGAAGAATCAAATGTTCAAACATGTATCTATCAACAAAAGCAAAGAAGCACTGGAGAGATGACTCAGCCACTGAAAACATTGCCTGCTCTTCCAAAGGACCTAGGTTCTATTTACAACACCTACATGGTAGCTCACAACCACCTGTAACTCCAATTCCAGAAATCCTGTACCTTCCTCTGGTTTATATGGCTCTAGGAATGCATGTGGTGCACAGTTATACATGTAGTCAAAATGCATATGTTTAAAAAAATTAGATAACAAATAAGAAAGAATATATTTTTTAAGTAAGAAGGTACCTAGCCATTTATATTAAAAACTCTCAAGGATATGCTGCAGTTATCATTCCACGGGACCAATCCCTTCATTAGTTCCAGCAGGTCCTAGAGGGGATAGATGTTAGGGTGGGCCAACCCAAGGTCCAGATGTGTGGATCTGGATGGTAGCTGAGCTAGTCAGTTCAGGCCACTGGGACCATGCAGGATCTCCATGACTCAGGGTGGCCACAGGCTATCCCAGAGGAGTTTTGGTGAGGATGGTGTGCCAGAAACCAAAGGCCTTGAACCAAACCAATGACTCATTGCAGTAAACATTTGCTAGTAAAGCTGATTAGACAAAAGGGTATACTATGTGACACACTGTTCTCAATGCCACCAGGACAAATGAAAGGGTGTTGGAGAGTGTGGTAGTTTGAATGTAATTGGCCCCTATAATCTCAAAGGGAGTGGCACTACTAGGAGGTATGGCATTGTTGGGATGGGTAAGGCCTCGTTGGAAGATATGTGTCACTGTGGGGTCAGGCTTTGAGGTTTCCTATGCTCTGGATATTGCACGGTGTCACAGTTGACTTCCTATTCCCTGCAAGATGTAGCACTATCAACTACTTCTGTTTCATTTCAGCTTAGTATTTTTATGGAATTTCTGATTATGTGAATGAATGGGTCTCTGATTCTTGTGCCTGCTCTTGGACTCTTTCCTTCTGTTGGATTGCCTTGTCCTGCCTTGATGTATTGTTTTTTGTTTTATCTTGTTATATTTTATTTTGTCGTATTTGGTTGTTATCTCTTAAAATTGTGTTCTTTTCTAATGAAAGACAGAAATGGAGTAGATGCAGAGTGCAGAGGAAGTGAGGAGGAACTTGGAGGAACAGAGGGAGGGGAAATTATAACCAGGATATAGTGTATGAGAAAAGACTATTTTCAATAACAGGAAAACAAATGAGAATAACTTTTTTTAATTAAATAAAAATATGAAGTCCATTTTCATTGTAATACCATATGATCAAATATTCCCAATATAAAATTTTCTAAATAATTATGATATAGGAAAATTAGATGCAGTAATAGCATATATATGTATATATATGCCAGTATTTTGGGATATGCATTATCCAATTTAAATGTGCTGAGTGGATTTGTAACAATATTTCATTTTCAGAAATATTGGCTTAAATGTAATGTTTAGTACACTGACATTTAATTTTAATTTAAAAATTGATCAAGCATTCATTAACTGCCTTCCAAATAAATTATAGTGTTTTTTATTTGGTAATAAGAACAATATTTGTCCAAGACAAAAACCTCATATCCAAGAAGATAACCTTAGATTACCATAACAAAATAGGCACACAAGTCATAAAGAGTTAAAAGATCACCCATTGAAGATAATAATATGAATAATAGTTCTCTCTCTACGTAATATGTACTACTTTATTAATTTTCAGGATATTATTAATATTAATTGTATCTAGAAATTTTTATTACATGCAATTTTGCATTATGTTTGTAATTTTCACACAATATCATATTTTTTATTTTGAAGTAATTTTCCCATGAGGAATGAGAATACATTTTCCTTACTTTCCTTCATTTGTAATGCATCTTGTCTCAAACTCAAATTCTCTAGCCTTATATATAGAAAGAAAAATATGACATCTTGGGGCTATAAATTCTCTACAGCAATGGAAATGTTTCTATATACTATTTAAAGTTGTTTAATGCATATGTGTGTCCATGTATATGTGTGTGCAGCTTCATTTGTGATTGTAGATGCACATGTGTGTATACAAGTATGCACATGAATGTAGGAGACATAGGAAACCCTTAGATGTAATCCTCAAGAATGTATTCACCTCTTTTGAGGCAGGGTCTCTCATTGACCTTATACTCACTAGTTAGCATAGGATGGCTGGCTTGCAAACCCCAGGGATTTTTTGTTTTTTCCTCCAGATCACTTGAATTACAAGAGCACACTACTGCTCTCAGATTTTAATCATGGTTTCTGATGTCAAACTCAGGTCTTCACACTTTCAAGGAAGTGCTTTACTCACTAAGCCATCTTTCAGTATTTCTTTCGGCCTTAAATGTTTTCTCTATAATTTCTAAGTTTCTCTATAAGTTCTCTACATTGACCTCTTTACATTTCAGAAAATCAAACCAACTGTGCTATTACATACATCAAGAAAGCAGTTCTCAAACTAGAACACTGAGGTCCTAAATCAAAGTACATCAGAAAAAAAGTAAAGGTTTTCCACTATTAAAAAATCAGTTAATTTCCTGAATATAGTAAACAATTCCACATAAAGGTGATGATATAGAATACATTTAGTAGGATCTGGAATTAAGCAAGTGCTGGAGAAAATGACATGATGGGATGATATTGATATTGGAAATGATTCAATGGGCTCCTTGAAATGTTCACAGTGCGTATCCACAGGGCATACAGATTTTTATCACCACAGGGAAGATGGAGATTCAGCAGTGATGCAGGCTGACCTGCATACTCCTTGAAACAGTGCAGACTTTCAGGTACAACAGATTAAGGTGACTTTGGGTCTGCTTACACTGCTGCTGTGAAAAAGGTCAGAACTCTGAATAGACTAGAAAGAATTCCAGAAGTTCTTTTTCTGAATTCTAGGCTCCAATCGCCTCTGCCTTCTTTATATTTATTGAGATAACTTTAAAAGCATTCCCCCTGCAAAAAAATGGAATAAAGTATGTCGCCAAAGTTACTTACATTGGTGTATTCACGTATCGCAAATTTCTGTTCAGTCCATCAAGGACTTTCATATCCTCTGAACTCAACTGGAATTCAAAAACCTATTAGATAGATAAGAACTATTTTTTAGAAATTTAGACTGCATGTTTGCCAATGGCACATGATAAATACAACAGACTGAACTGTGATGACAAATATGTTGAACAATCTCAGATCTTACAAAATACAAAGGTATTCAGCAAAATGCCCAAGTGAGAAATGCATATCAGGGACAGCATGATTCAAATCCATCTACATATTGAATCCATCCATAACACAGGCAAGAGAGATTTGAATGGAATGTGAGAAGGAAAGAAACCTGATGTGATTCAAGGAAGAAAACATCATTGCTTAGATGATCTAAATTCGGAGTGCAATTTTCTTAATGTGAAACACAATTTAGAAATCATTTATATAGTTTTATTTCCACATCTGAAAGGAAAACAATCAAATATAAGCATATTGTTTTAAACATAACTTAAATGGGCATTCTACTAATAATAATGGTGTTTTATAAATGATTAAGAACTTGCTTCCCACAAATAATATAAAATATCCTGGGGCAACTCTAAGCAAGTAAAAGACCTGTATAATAAAAACTTTAAGTCTCTGAAGGAAGAAATAGAAGAAGATATCAGAAAATGGAAAGATCTCCCATGATCATGGATAGGTAGAATTAACATAGTAAAAATAGCAATCTTACCAAAAGCAGTCTACAGATTCAATGCAATCCCCATAAAAATCCCAACACAATTCTTCCCAGACATGGCAAGAACAATACTCAACTTTATATGGAAAACAAAAAACCCAGGATAGCTAAAAGAATCCTGTACAATAAAACAACCTCTGGGGGCATCACCATCCCTGACTTCAAGCTCTACTATAGAGCTACAGTAATAAAAACAGCTTAGTATTGACATAAAAACCCAAATGTGGACCAATGGAATCAAATTGAAGATGCTGACATTAATCTGCACAACTATGAACATAAGATTTTTGACAAAGAAGGCAAAATTGTACAATGGAAAAAAGAAAGCGTCTTCAACAAATGGTGCTGCCATAACTGGATGTTAAATTGCAGAAGATTGCAAATAGATCCATATCTGTCACCATGCACAAAACTCAAGTCCAAGTGGATCAAAGACCTAAACATAAATCCAGTTACATTGAACTTGCTAGGAGAGAAAGTAGGGAGTAGTCTTGAATGCATAGGCTCAGGAGAACACTTCCTAAATATAGCACTAGTTGCATAGACACTGAGAGCAACAAATAATAAATGGGACCTCCTGAAACTGAGAAGCCTTTGTAGAGCAAAGGACACGGTCAATAAGACAAAACAACAGCATACACAATGGCAAAAGATCTTCACCAACCCCAAATCTGACAAAAGGCTGATCTCCAAAATGTATAAAGAACTCTAAAAGCCAGACTTCAAAACACTGAACAATCTAATTGAAAAATGGGCTACACAAATTAACAGTGAATTCTCAACAGCAGAATCTCAGATGGCTGAAAGACATTTAAGGAACTGCTCAACATCCTTAGTCATCAGGCAAATGCAAATCAAAACGACTCTGAGATACCATCTTACATCTGTCAGAATGGCTAAAATCAAAAACACAGAAGACAGATTATGTTGGAGAGGATGTGGATCAAGGGGAACACTCCTCCACTGTTGGTGGGAATGCAAACTTGTATCGCCACTCTGGAAATCAGTATGGCGGTTTCTCAGAAAATTGGGAATATGTCTTCCTCAAGATCCAGCTATATCACTCCTGGACATATACTCAAGGAATGCTCAATCTTACCACAAGGACACTTGCTCAACTATGTTCATATCAGCATTATTTGTAATAGCCAGAACCTGGAAACAACCTAGATGCCCTTCAACTGAAGAATGGATTAAGAAAATGTGGCACATATACACAATGGAGTACTACTCAGCAGTAAAAAACAATGATATCATGAAATTTTCAGGCAAATGGATGGAACTAGAAAATATCATTCTGAGTGAGGTAACCCAGATTCAGAGGAACAAACATGACAAACAAACAGGATCACCCATAAATGGATACTAGATGTAGGGCAAGGATGGGCAGACTGCAGCCCATGGCATCTTAGAGGCTATCTGACAGGGACAGGGAGGGACCCTGGCAGGACACACAGATAGTCCAGTGAAGTAGAAGTGGATGGGATCTGCATGAGCAGGCTGGGAGTGGGGGGTGGTGAAAGACAAGGAATGGGGGGCGAGAACATAGGTAAATGGGAGGGGTGAGCTGGAACGGGGACGGAGTGGGAGAGCAGGGAAGGACATACTATTATAGATGAAGACATCATGGGATTGGGAACAGGCAGGGTGCTGGGAAGCTCTCAGAAATCCACAAGGATTCCCCCAACCTGGACTGCTGGCAGTGATTGAGGGGTTGCCTGGACTGGTCTACTCTGGTGACTGGTCTAGTGAGTACCCTAACTGTCATCATAGAGCCTTTATCCAGTGACTGATGGAGGTGGATGCAGGGATCCACAGCTGGGTGCCAGGCTGAGCTCCAGGAATCCAGTTGATTGGAGAGAGGAGGGATTCTGTGGGTGGGGGATGTCAAGACCATGATAGGAAGACATGCAGAGATGACCGGCCACACTGGTGGAGACCCATGAACTGTGGACTATTGGCTGTGGAGCCCCCATGGGACTAGACTAGGCCCTCTGAATATCAGACACAGCTGTTTAGCTTGAACTGTTTGGAGGATAGGGATCCATTCCTGGTACATGGGCAGGCTTTTGGAAGCATGGTGCCTGTGGTGTCGCACCTTGTGCAGTCTTGGTGCAGTGGGAAGGGGCTTGGACCTGCCTCAGCTTGGTGTGCCAGGCTCTGCCGACTTCCCATGGGAGACCTTGAATTGGAGGATGTGGGGATCAGGGGTGGCTTGGAAGGCAAGACTGGAGGGTGGGAGGAAGGAGGAGGGAGGATCTGTGGGTGAGTAGAAATTTCTTAATAATAAAAAAAAAGCTGGCTTCCAAGAGGTCATCTTTAATACAGTTTGGGCAGTTTAATTAACAAGATCATCTATAATTATTAACATTGAAACAAATCACTGGTTTTAATCTGAAAGTAAATACCAAAAAAGAATGACAGAATAAGAATATAGATTATACAACCACTTACTCATTTAACTGACAGATGCAAAATCACCTGAATATTTGAAAGTTATTAAAACAAAAAAAGGATATTAAAAAAATCACAAAATAAGTGGTTTCTATGTATAAGTGAGACAGAATAGAATCAGATTATTTATTATGAAAATTATGAAAGTTTAGGTAGTATGTAAAATATTATCTACATAACAGAAAATTCCAATAAAATGATCATGGGTTGGACATCACAGTATTGTCAAAAACCCACAGTCTTCAAAATAATGAACAGACATGATATCAAAGGCAGACTTAAACACTCTTGTTGGAAGTTAGCAAGTAGATTCCAAACCCTTTGTTTCAGAAAAAAAAAAGCGTAAATAACCAAAGCAAGCCAGGTGTGATGACACATGTCTATAATCCCACCACTTAGACTGTAAAAGGCAGAACTAAGTTTAGAAGTTCCTGGTCATCTTCACCTACATTGCCAGCTTAAGGCCAGCCCACTTTAAAATTGACAACCTCAAAGTAAACCACCATCAGAAAATAAAAAACCATCCACAAACAAAACTCAACCCAAAACTCCAGAAAAATCCCTGGACCTAAAAAGCACAAGAAACTTGACTGCTCAAGATGTTTCAAGTTGCCGTTTTTTTCTCTCACTTCTTGGTAACACCTCAGCAATGGAACAGCACTAGCTTGTGAAAAAGTGGTTGCATAGCTGGACTCTCTTGTGCATGATGTATGCAGGCATTTATTGCAAATTTTTAAAAAATTTCCACAGAAAATATGAAAATGTAAAATACCAGACACCAAATAATATCAAGCTGTGTTTTAGTAAGAGCAAAAGTGAGAAACATTGTCATTTGGGAGAGCCAACTTCATTTCCAGATAATTAACACATTAGGTAAAATATGTTAACTGACCACAAGAGTGAGGAGAGATGCATAGTCATGGAATGGTGAATTTTGTTAGCCATTTTCAAATTGAAAGTATGCTTTGGCTGACACTTGAAATCATAAACGAGTAATTCTGGTAGAACAAAAAAATGACGTGGAAAGAACATAGGATAACATTTTCAAAATAAGAGAGAAGAATATGGATGTGTTCCACACAGGAATACTTAATGCCAGTCAACCACAAAAGAAAGTCATGAAGAATATGAGTCTATAAAGAAGGAATTCCTGTTCATGTTAATATATAACAAAAATTAGAAAAGTAGAGCTTTTTTTAGAAAAAGTTTCACAATTCACTTAAGAAGCTGAAACCAATGAATTTCCAGAGTACAACAGCATTGTTAATGACAATAAGCATATAGTAATTCCAGAAGAAGAGTTAGTCTCTCCCAAGGATCATTCTCTTAATTGGTTGCCCAATACAAAGGGGTCAGCCTTGAAGCCATATAAGCACCATTAACGAAAATGGACTCAGCATGTTTAATTTATGCAATGTTAAATACTAACACATACACACAGATATTTGTAAGAATAATAATTAAGAAATAAGGGCCTATTGATTTGACAATGGAGGGGTATGGGAGAAGTTAGAGGTAGGGAACTGGAAAGGGGATGGAGAAAGGAAAAAGGAGGAGGAATGTAGTGTAATTATATTTTAATAAAATATTTAAAAATTGTAAAAGATTATAAGAATGTCTACTACATGTCTTGCAGTGTCCACTCTATTTTGTGAATATGTAGCCATTTGAATTAGAATACTTGATACTTCCCTGGTTGTAGTACACTGTGCCAGTAGAATATGCCAGAAGTAATGGTATTCCTGATCTAGATTAGAACATAATCATACATGAAAGCCCTTTCCAAGAACTCAGAAACTAATTTGAAATTGTGCAAAGTAGTGAAGTAAAGTCAAAGCTGCTTGGAAGAAGCATTGAGAACTATGAAGACAAGACCTGGAGAGGCCAAGGAACGACATGGAGATGAAGCAAGCTCTACTGCGAACAGTGCTCTACTACTACCTCTCTGAGGTCAGATGAGACAGGAAAAATTCTAACCACAGAACAAATAGTAGCACAAACGTTTTTATATACGGAATCCCTACAAAGAACAATTGCATAAATGTTTTTTAATAGAGAGCCCATACATGGAATTGGGTAGTACCTTGAACTCATACAACTATTCATGATAAAAATAAATGACCTCCTCTTTGAAAAGAAAGTTACTTTCTACCAGATTTGAAGATACTTGACAGAAAATTAAATTTAAAGACGTTAAATACCTGGGTGTTAAAATAAATGTAGATGTAGGAAAATATGAAACAGAACATAAATAATTTGCAGACCTAAGATTATCTAGTTTGGGTGCCTCATTTCAGCTGACAAAGGGTCATTTCATTCACTTAAGGTTACTAGGTGCATTGCCAATGTGATGCTAAGACAAGAAATCTATCTTCAATCTAATTCTAGTTCTATATTACAACAAAAGCTATGATGCTATTACAGAGCAGGATAAAACCCTTCAAATGTATATAAAAGATAAAAGCCTGAGAAAGTAAGGTAGAAGGACAAGGCTATTACAGGCTCCCGAGTTTCTAAAGAAGTACAAATAATGCTTCAGTATGAACAATTCTGAAGCCAACAGCCTCATTCATCACCTTTGTGTTCTCTTTGACCCGCTTTTCATTGAGAGTGCTGTTGAGGGCCACAACCCCACGCTGTAACTGGTAGCGCAGGGCAATCAAGGCTGGAGTTTGATTGTATTTTTTTGCCATGGAGCAAAGAACTGGTTCATCCAAGAGAACAGGGGAGTTCTGGTCCACCCTGGAATGAGATACAAGGGGGCTAAATTCCAAATGTATAGCATGTAAAGAATTAGAAATACAAATGAAGATGGCCATAGACAATGGGTTTTCCCAAGTGTGTTCCTGGACTGGTAACACCAATATCATCTTTCATTCTCTCCTATCTCTGCTTCCAGATTACAGAGTATGAACTTAGAACTGCAGGACTATAGGTATGTCAATAGCAGTTGTTAACTTATGTTTAATTTTATTTATTTATTTTTTTGGTTTATTGGTTTTTTGAGACAGGGTTTCTCTGTGTAGTTTTGGTGCCTTTCCTGGATCTGGCTCTGTAGACCAGGCTGGCCTCTCATCTCACAGAGATCTGCCTGGTTCTGCCTCCCCAGTGCTGGGATTAAAGGTGTGCTCCACCTCTGCCTGGCTTTTATGTTTAATTTTTAATAACCTCATTACCATCCTGTATATCGTTGTGTTCCCAGGACACCATAGGCAACCAGTACAATGTCATTTGACTTGCAGAAATCTAGAAGTTTCATTTGGTTGAGATAAGGATGACATTCTACCTGCAGAGGAATGAATAAACAGTACATGATTATTCACATTGATTTAAAGTGTTGAAATACAATAAGCTGAATTAGGACAACTTGTGTAACAAAGTGTGCATGACTATAACAACATCAAGACTTAAGCAAATAACCTCCAACTCATTCTTATTCAAGAAACTTTGATTAATTACAGTGGGTCATTTTTAAAAAGTTATGAAAATAGAGGTTTCTTGGAAGTAGAAGGGGTTTGTGTGTGGGTAGAGAAGGGAATAATAAAGGATAATTGGGGGATTTAAACAAGGAACATATATAAATTTTCAAAAGAACACTTACATTTTTTAAAAATATTTGAAAGAAAAGACTGGGCTTGTTCATAGCTCTAACTCCAGAATTTAGGAGACTCTGTGTGTGTGTGTGTGTGTGTGTGTGTGTGTGTGTGTGTGTGTGTGTACATATGTGTGCACATGTACCATAGACTTGCGTGAGTCAGTTCTTTCCTTCCATCATGGGAAGGATCACACTCAGGTGTTCTATCTTGGCAGTAAATGGATTTACTCACTCTTCTGTCTCACTGGCCCCATGATATATATGTTTTATTGATACATTTATTGTACTGATGGGCTTCATAAAGACATGTTTATATAATTACATTTTGTACTTTGATCCTATTCACTCTCACCCCCCCATTACTACCCACAATTTCCATTCAATTCTCCATATTTTAATTTAAAAATTATAATGTCTAATGTATCTAGGAACAGTTAAAAAACAACCATTTTGATTTCAATCAAACTTTGCACAAAATTCTAGGTGTAAATATTCATTTTATCTAGGCAGAATCATGACAGAGCCTAGATGCAGAAAAGGGAAGAGAATTACTAAGTTTTGACTATTAAAAAGTATAACAAAGCGCCGGGCGGTGGTGGCGCACGCCTTTAATCCCAGCACTTGGGAGGCAGAGCCAGGCGGATCTCTATGAGTTCGAGGCCAGCCTGGGCTACCAAGTGAGCTCCAGGAAAGGCGCAAAGCTACATAGAGAAACCCTGTCTCGAAAAACCAAAAAAAAAAAAAAAAAAAAGTATGACAAAGCATGAACTATAAAGTCTATAGGTTGAAAAAGCCAGTTGGGTAGATACCTCAAATATGGCAGATTTTAGCAAGAACTGAAAACTAAAAGTTAATCCAAATTCGTGATGTAATTCAAAATCAATACTTTCATAAGAATTTGAACACAAAAAGGAGGTAATTAGACATAGAAAAAAAGACTCCAGGTCATTATCAATTGTACTTACTAAAGCAACTCCTTTTTCAGAACATTGATAACTAAAGGTATAAATTTTACCAATAGCTATAGTGGAACCAAACTTGCTATATGAATTTTCTTTCATATACAATAAAACAACAAGTAACAATAAGCTGAAAGGAAGAGTTAGTATTGTCAAACTGAAGCAAAATAATTGACGCAGGCAAATATCTTTGATGGATTCACAAATATTATGTGACAGTTCATCATAAAGTATGAATTCCCTCTTCTAAATCATCGTGCACACAAGTCACAGTGTCTACAATGGAGGAAAAAATGTTGAAAAAGAAGAGATCTGCCTGAGACTATTAGCATTACCACACTGCCAATGGAACATCACGAACAGCAGGACATTGTATCAGTACATGATACTTTATCGACTCCCATGTGAACATTGGAACATTGGGAGGATGTTTCCTTGGCAAAAAAAAATAACATTATGTGTAATAGACCATTCACACTCAATCCCTTATTATACAAGCATGCAGGGATAGAAAAACTATCTTTCATTAAAAAATATATATCTGAATCAATCCAGTATTTTAAGTATTCTTCCTATATGTCATTTGGAAAAACACTTGTCTACATGAAAGTATAAAAAAACTGGGAAAATATTTGGGAAAGATGAATGAATACCAATTTTAGTTTGATGAGAGAAAAACTACCTAAGGTGATTTGGGGAACAGGGAAATTTTACTGTAAACTGATAATTCATAACAGCATGAGAGCTGGAGAGATGGCTCCGTAGTTAAAGCAATTGCTACACAAGGAAGGGGGTCTGGAATTCAGACTCCAAGAACCTACATTTATTTGAGATGGGCAGACTGCTCTGCTCATATTTCTCTAGTTTGAGGGTGGAGACAAATGATCCAAGAAGAATCTCAGTTAGCAAGACTAGCCTTATTCAAGATGGGTTTGAATGAGAAAGCATGTTTCAAAGAATGAGCTGTAGAGAAAGACTTCTAACATCAGCCTTAGGCCTCCACTTATATATTTGCACACACTGTATATACACCATAAGCACATATACTAGAGAAGAAAACATATAGAAAGAAATGTTATAAACTCAGTTCGCATAATATAAATCTAATAATAAAATAGTATGTCTTCATTCCTAGGAAAAGTTTTATAAGATAATTAGAGGTTGATAGTAATATGTGAATCTAACTTTGAAAGATTTGGCAACATATTACACACATATATTAATGTTTAATCATATATATGTTACTATAATTTGCAGACTTTCAAAATGTCAACAATTTTGGACATAGACAAAGAAATATAAAAGATTTGTACCATCCATCCAAATTTCTAAAGTGCTTTAAAGTTATCATAAAATTACATAAAAATTATTGTCACATTATTTTTCTTATTTTAATATTTGAATATCTAGTGATTTGATTCTTATATGCCAAGAACTTAAATAGCATACACCCTCATTTCTTATATGTGACCTTATCTTGTCTTCTGCAAATTGTTATAAATACCTGAGAGAATGGAGCCACAAATACAAGGAAGTTATTTCACACTTTATTTGATGCCACAAACCAGGAGAAGAAATCGAAATATGCTCAGAAACCAAGTCAGCTGAAGTATTGTTCAAAGTTCTGAGTATTAATTTTACAAACCCAATTAATATCGCCAAACAATAAAGTTCTTCCCTCTAACCTAGATGAGAATTGTAGTCTGCTGTAATTCTTAATATAGCTAAGTCTTGGTTCATAATCAACAAAGTATATGAACCCTACAGAAACCCAGACCAGCATCATTTGTTAATTTCACAGCATCCTTGTTTTCTGGACATCTCAAGCTTTCTCAGTCTTATCTAAGCACAGTTCCTTACAGCTTTTCCCTGTTAATCATCGTTCATTCTTAACATATCAGGTATAATTTCACCTTTCCTTAGGAGTGTGATGAATGACTATAGTCTACATTGATCATCCATACCTCTCTAAAATACAAGAAAAGGATCTGCCAATGTTTTCCAGTAAGACTTAACAGAGTGAAACACAATCTACTATTGTAAATATCCTATACATAAATACTGTGCTGTTAGCTTGTTTGTTCCCCATCTAAGATGAATGCTAAAAGAGTACCTATCGACCAGTGGTAAGAAGGGAAACAAAGGAATGAACAACAAGAAGAAGAGGCTGAGGATCCCTACCTGATTGCACACAGGCTTGTACTTGAGCCCTGGCTTGTTCAGGATTGTCTCCAGCTGCCTGCGGTTAAAGTTGGACACCCCAATGGACTTGGTCAGTCCTGCCTCCTTACACCTCTCCATTGCCTAAAGAAGAAATGATGGTCACAAAATATTTTATGTCGTTGCATAACTCCTTTGTTTCTACTACATTAAAGTCACGCATGCTACCCCAGCTCTTAAACAAAACAGCCCTTGAAAATAACCTCCAACACAGAAGACGCACCCCATTTTCATGTATGAAATTGTGGTCTGACTTTTTCTCTCCCTGTACACCCCCCAGTGCTCCTTAATCCCAGTACTCACTTCCCAGGTTGCAAGGAGATCCACTGTGTCAAATATTAGTTTTCCATGTTCATCTACTGGGTACTCATCTTCTCCTGGCTGGAACAGAAGCAAATGTTAAAGTAACCTCTCAACAAACACATTGTTCCAAAACCAGTAGTAATGATTCTAGGGAAAGGGATTGCTGAGAACTAAACCTCCATAAGATAGATGGGTCATATTGAATATAATTATATTTGTCATGTAGTTTGAATTTTGAGTTATAGGAAATTCTCTTGCATGGTAGGATTCTATTTCTCTTATACCTATTATATGTATTCATAAATATTGCATCTCTAGGTCATTATGGAGTATCCCAGGTGATTTTTATCATTCTTTAGGGCTTTCCAGTAGGTGGATAACCAATTTGGCATCTCTTCCCTGGAGAAGATTATTTCTCTTGCTCTAATTTCTTATTGCCTCTAGTTCTTTTTGGGGTGTTGAGGCCTCATGTGATTTTCCTCTTCCATATTAACATGACTACTGGTCCTTCCTCAGGTCTTCTTTAGTCAGCATGTTTGTGAGACTTCATGAGTATAGCTTCTCTGATATCTCTAGAAGATGCCATCTCACAGAAAACTTTCTACTCCTCTGAATCTTATAAGCATTCTGTCGTTTTCTCTACTGTGAACGCTGTGCCTTAGCAGGAGTTGTATTTTAGATGCATAGAACCTATAGTTGCTGCATTACTAAACCATCATAAATACAAACTACTCTAAATGAAATACTTCTGGAGATTCAAACAACATACTTTCAGGGCCACTGGGTAATGCATGAGGTACAGGTTCACATAAGCCAGCTGAACTTTCTTCAGTGACTGCTCCAAAGAAGACCTCACTAGTTCTGGGCGAAGACAATTACACCAGACCTATAGTAGAGGGTGGAATTCAGATTGAATTAATAAATTGTGATAATTTGTTCATTTACTTTACCTAATACAGCGACATTTTTCTACTGATTTGAAATTGATGTGCACACGGGGAATATTCCACTTCTTCCCAAATGTCCTTTAATCTGATTTAGCCATACACATCTTTTATGTTTATTATAAATTAATCTTGGAAATTACTCAATACTCAACATTTTAATCAAGCAATAATAATGCTCATCATCATCCATTTAACTGGATTTAAAATGCACAGTAGGAGTCTAATACTCTTACCCAGGCAACTTAATATGAAATAGTTTGTGGTGGGGGTATCTGCATACGTGTGTGCTGTTTTGCTTATTTAGTATGCACATATGGACAGATGTCAATCTTGGGTGCCTATCTCTGTCACTCTCTGTCTATGTAATTTTTAATATATGTAATTGTAGGGAAAATAGTTACAACATTTTATTTAATGCTATATTAGTTACATCTTGCTTAACATCCAAAATCTAATCTTATTTTCTCTCATTGATAAAAGTATCTAAAATTTTGAGAGTAATGAGAACTGTTAGAAAGATATCCAGGAGATAAGCAAGGCTACTTTCATAGTCCAGTTTACATCATATTCCTATGTACTTAGATGTCGGAATCAGAGGCATCAAATCAAATTACATTCATGAATCTAAATACAGCAATAATGAGAAAACTATTCTCTGTCAATCAACACTGTATCCAATATGCAAATGCATGCAAGTAAAATATAAACCAGTAAGTACTGTTCACTATCAATTACTGATCTAATCCTATGAGCATCAGATATCATGGTTCATTCACAGGTACATTACGTAAACAGAACCTTTGTTGTATAAAATACATCTTCTCTCCTCACAGTGCCATCAGCAATCTTGCTTCGGATGACCTCTCCCACATAATCTTCAGTTTTATAAACAGAAGCAGAATCAAAATGACGGAAGCCAACTTCGATAGCTATTTTGGTGAGCTCCTTAATCCTACTTTTGGGAACCTGAGGAGCAACAAAAGGTTTATAGACAGATATTCATGATTCAGAATGTATTCAGGCACAAAATGTGACCTGATCTGGTATTAATTTCCCCCTACATCTTTTGAGGTAAAGACTACATTAAGTTTACTTTGACATCTGTTGATGTGGTATCAAGAGTAACGCAGTCTGGGAACCTCATCTGTTCTTGCCAAGCACAGGTTGAACATTGCCAAATGAGGGCTCAGCTAGCACCTAGGATCCAGGATTTACTACAGAGAATTGTAAGATTGGGATTGCCCAGTAGACATTCCCTGTGTGGCCAAGTCGCAGATCATCTGCCATCCTGCCAAACTAGAGAGAAAACCATTAAATTGTAATATCAAAAATGCAAAAAAAAAAAAGAACGGTAAACAAAATTTACACTGGAAAATATCCTCCAAATAACATAAAAATTAAATGCTGTGTAAGGGAATTCCACCCACCCCAAAGCCAAGGCCATAAAATTGTGTCAAAGTTTCAGGAAGTCAGCTATTTGATGATTTCAGAAGAAAAACAGCCGACTCTTCCCTTATATAACTGATAATTGCAAAAAGATAACAGACCCTGTAGTTTCGAGAAAAACAGCTAATTTAAGAAAAAAAAAAAGACTAACTTCTCTAATATGTCACTAATGATCCTTCCTTTCCTCTTTCTTATCCTTAGCTACAAAAATGCAGCTTAAAAGACAGCATTGTGTTTCCCTTGTACTCTGGTCATTGAGTGACAGGTCCTGTGCTATGATCACAGTGTAGCCAGAACTTGATAGTCCCTTCCCTGGTATAAAGTAAATCTTTCTCTAGCTATTCGAGATAGTTTAAATGTTCATTTGGTTTCTTCCTATAAACTTAATTTTTACATATTCTTATACTGTAGATCTTCCATGAGGTTTCTTCCAGGAAAAGACGTCAGAACTCATCAAATTTCCCAAACACTGACTTCACAAAGGGTGCTCTGGTGTTTAAATGGATACTGTTTAGAGCCTCCATTCAAAGATCTTCATTTTCAGTTTGTTACATAAACACTTGACTTACCACATCCCCAAGTTTTGTCTCCAAATCAAAGTTCATTTATGAGAGCCCCAGTGCTTGTCCAGGCAGTAAATTGCCACACATATTATGAAATCAGTGTTCTTAGTTTTATCAATGAAATTACAACACACAATGACACACCTGCTTTCTTCTCTAGATATCACCTTTTGCCTCTTTTGATTTCTCAAGTGCTCCCAATCTTCTCATGCCTTTTATTCTACTTTCCTCCACAGGAATTTAAGCAATTCTTGTTATTGTTGATCATTGTCCTTTGGACACTTTAAAAACATCTTAGTCCATTGAGATGACTCAACAGGTTAAGAACTTATCAACAGTCCTGATGACCCTTTTTCAAACCCTAGACCCAAATGGTGGAAGAGAAATGACCTAAGACTGTTGTTCTCTGTCCTGCACAATGGTACCACAGCAAGTACACACACACCTACATACATACAGAGAGCAGGGCTGGGAGGGGGAAAAAGGAAAGAAAAGAAGAGAAGAGGAGATATGAAAGGGAACAAACAAAATTAAACGGAATAAATTTATAGAACAAAAAAAGTGAATTCAAAGTTCTAGATCTCTTCCATAGACACACTTTTGTGGTCAGGATAATCACTTTACTGGAAAACTGCTTTCATTACAGGCAAGTAAACTCTCCAGGTCTACACTTTCATTTCAAAGAATTGTTTGTACTATTATGTATTAAGTCCAACATGTTGAACACAGATCAATTATGTCTAAATTCCATTACTAAGTTCCTCATTTCTGCTAGGTTATTGTCCCATTTTTATTTCTAGTTGTTTCTTTTGCACCAAGAATAGTTAATGGAGTTAGTTCTGCAACCAAAGTCTGTAATAACAGAACTGGAAAGGCCCAGGGGATTGAAGCTTCAAGACCAGCCTGTTTGCAGAGTGATACTTCTGGGAAACATCGACAGCCACAAAAATAAGACATGGGGACATCTACTTAGCCCATATCATATAAAGAAAATGACATAATAAGCCAAACTCAAAGCAGAGCACCAAAGTTAAATGACTCACATATCTTATTTTAGAAACATTATTGTACTAATATCTTTACAAGTTGGATTTATAAAAGTGTAAAATATCTTCAACAAAAAAATAAGTATAAAAATCTCTCTGGTTACAATCAACTTGCAATTGAGGAAGTTGACAGCTAGTTTTCTTTTTTACTTCTTTTGTATATAATTTATGTAGACAAATTTGCAACTTAATAGGAAAAGAGTTTGAGAATGTATGAAACATTGAACATCAACATGCTTCTGATCTTTAAAGCTAGATTTTTTTCAAAATTCTGTTTCAGTTAATATGTATTAATTTCAGATACTAACCGTGTTCAGTGACCATGCACCCTGAAGAAATAGGGACAGCCCACATTTGACATGACTTATAATTTCCATCCATTTTCATTCCTTATTTTCTTTAAATTTAGATACTGAGAAATACATGTTAAATTATTGCAAACCACAGTCTTCCTCCAAACTGGGAGACACAAAAACTTACTCTTTCTAGCCAACTGCTTTTTCATACCTGGTACATAAACTCTCTTGATCATTGTTCATCTCATATCATTTCCAGCCTCAGCATCTTGTGATGTTTATTATTCAAGTTAACTTGTTATAGTGTCCTATTCTGAGACAAAGTAAGTAACTCTTTGTTTCCCTTTGGCAGGCAATCATAGGAATGTATACAACAGTTGGATCTATGTCACTACAAATGAAAGAATACCATTTTCTTTTATAAATGAAAAATTCACAATGAATAGATGAAATGTTTTATCTATGCTTTAAAATATTGTATTGTGTATATCTACTGCATATGGTACCACGTTACATAGTAACATTTTCATGCAAGCATATAATGTTGAGCGAATGCCCCATTCAACACTGTGTTCCTTCCCTTCCCACTTTTCTTTTCCTCCACATTAATCCCCTTCATTAACTTAAACAATTTCACTTTATGACAGACATATCTACACACATGATCTTGTATACCTATATAAAATCAAGGAACTGTAAATTAGAGGAAACATGATATTTGTTCTTTTGAGACTGGATTTCTTTGCTTTATATGATTACATTCACTTTTATTCAGTTTCTTAAAAACAACAGAACCTTGGTCATCTTCTTGCTTGAATGAATATATATATATATATATACATATATATATATATACATATATTTTATATTTGTTCTGTTGTTGGAGACCTAGGCTGGATTCATAACTTATCTGTGAATAGTGCTACAATAAAGACTAATGAGCAAATATTTCCATAATATGTTCACTTGATGTCCTTAGATATTTAGCCAGGAGTGACATAGTACATTTTCCTTATCTATTTACTGAATGATGGGCACATAAACTGGTTCCATGTATCACTTATAATAAAAAGTGCTGCAACAGACAAAGATAATTAGATAACAGCTTCTATGTGGGCAATAACTTTTAAAATATGTCTCTCAAAGCATATGAAGCAACAGAAGAAATATAAAAATACAATCATATTAAATTTTGAGATTTTTTACACCACAAACCCCTACCCTGTAATTAAAAAGTATCAGTCAGTCAAGAATAGTTAAAATCTATAGAACATGAAGAACCATTCTTCTTACAAAACACTAGTCTAGAATTCAAAACTAACAAAAACCACATAATCCATTTTTTGAATCGGTAGCCTATCTGAACAGACTTTTCTCAAAAGGAAAAATACACTGTAAGCAAACATTTAAAGCCTCTGTAATATTCATTTTCAGGAAGTTAAGCAAAAGGAAATGGATTTAAACAAAAGAAAACATGGCTCCAAGATAATTAACAGGAAGCTAATGACCACACTCTGTCTCTGAACAGTCTCTGTTACAGGCCCTAGCCCGAGGAAAGAGAGAATCCAGGAAGCCCAGAGTCACCAGGAAGTGAGTGACTTTGCAAGTCATATAGATTTACATTTATTCTGGTTCTATTTCTTCTGAATTTTCAAACCATTCATCACTGTTTTTACCTCTAAAGGTAGAGCAGTACCAAAGCCCAGCACAGGAATGAAGTGCCCATCATTCAGTTCCACACGTTGACACTTGGAGTTCATCTTCTGTCGTTCTTCAGGATAAGCTGTCTCTGCTTGATGTTCTTCTTTACAGGTCCTTTAAATAATGGTCGCTCTTCCTCTGCTTTCTAAGCTAATAATAGTTCATGACATGTGGGAGGAGTTAAGCTGCTTTCCACAAGTGAGGATAAAATGAGAGCCAGTTAACTTATTTATAAAAGAGAGAATTCTTTCCTCCCTTTCATTGAAAAAAATATTTCTATACAATTAATCCTGATAATCCCTTCCCCTCCCTCTGCCCTTCCTAACTCCTTTCCCATCCAGATCCACCCCTTCTGTCTCTCATTAGAAAACAAACAGGCTCCTAAAGGAATATGGTTGATATGATATGATATGATATGATATGATATGATATGATATGATATGATGATAAGTAACATCACATAATATAAAACAAAAACTAATACATTGGAATAGGACAAAAGAAAGAAACATAAGGAAAAGAGCCCCAAAAGGCACAAAAAAGATAGATTCAGAATCCCACTCACTTGCACATCCAGGAATCCCATAAAAATTTTAAACTGGAAGCCATAATATATATGCAAAGGAACTGTAGGGTAAAAAGGTGTGTGTGTGTGTGTGTGTGTGTGTGTGTGTGTGTGTGTGTGTGTGTGTGTGTTAAAAATAAAAAAAATCTAAAATTAAAAAAAAGAAAAGCCCTGACATGACATTATGAGACAAGGAACTCCAAAGATGCCAATGGAAGATGGCCTGTTAGCCATCTACTGCTGGGCAAACAGTCTACCATGGTGGGTCCAGGAATATAGAAATATAAAATTATAAGCTTAAGAGATGGAAACTGACAGTCATCAGCTCTAAAGGTTAAGTTCTAACAAGATTCTCTGCTTACAGTCAGCTCCTCTGTAAACAGCCAGGGACTAAGCATTAATGCCCTGACCCCTTATAGTCAACAACTGCCTGGACCAAAGTTAATTTTTAACAGTTGTTTCAGTGTGACTCATAGCATGAATTCCATGCCTGATGCTCTCCCCCTTACTATAAAAAGGGGACCAGAATCTGCCTGCATTGCCACAGCCATAGAATCCCAAACACTGGCTGTGGTCTCAGCCAGCTTTTGTGCCCTGTAGTGCTTTGGTGGTTTTTTTTTTTTTGTTTGTTTGTTTGTTTTGCTTTTCTTCTCCTTTGGATTTATTTTCTGGAATTCAGTTTGCTTCTGGTGTAATAGCCTTTGGTGGTCTGTCCCCTGTTATTGCATGACCCCGGACCCAACAACCCTTAAAAGTATTTTGTTTCCCCAGTGAGACTCCTTTGTGGGGAGGGAGAAACTGAACTTTTACTTGCAAGTGGTTATCAGTTTGAAATTAATTCTGAGTTGGGGGTGAGGGCATGTGTCCACTATTTTTGCAGCTCTAGGACCTTATCTGGTACAGACCCATGCAAACCTTATGTATGCTGTCAGTCCCTGTGAGTTCATAAGTGGGTTTATCTTGTTGATTTAGAGGGCCTTGCTTTCTTGGTGTCCTCCATCTTCTGGCTGAAGCTGGAGTTTTCTCTCCGGGTCCCACCAAGCCCCGGCAGTCCCTTAGCTCACTTATAAAATAAACATACAGACACTTATATTGTTTAAACTGTTTGTCCATTAGCTCAGGCCTATCATTGTCTAGCTCTTACTCTTATATTCAGCCCATTTCTATTAATCTATACTTTGCCATGTAGCTCATGGCTTACTGGTACCTTACATCGTCCTTGTCCTGGCGGTGGCTGCAGGCTCTCTTCCATTTCCCTTCCTGTTCCCTCAATTCTCCTCTCTGTTAGTCTTGCCTATATTTCCTGTCTGGCTATTGGCTAATCAATGTTTTATTTATTAACACATTTGTCATACAGAACATCCCACGGCACTTCCCTTTTTTTTTTTTTAAAGGAAGGTTTTAACTTTTACATAGTAAAATTACAGATAACAAAACAATTATCAAGCAAGAATTACAGTTACAATATCTATTCTATAATAACTAGTCTATTTGGAAAAATTAAAGAAGATATCCTATCTATGTTATATTTGTGAGTCTAAGGTTTTATATGGATAAGGTTTTATAAGGATAAAAGTCTAACATCTTTTATCATAACTAAGGAAGATTGTATCTAGCTTTAACTACATCTAAGACCTCAGAAGGATATAATACTACCTGAGAAATGGGAGAAGGATGCAAGCAACTTTTGGGAGTCTCACAGGGTAGACAGAGACAGCTGGATGCCTGGACAGTCATCCAAAGTTTTCTGTAAAGTTGGGGTATCTGTCTTCAGCCCACAGGCCTAGAGTCTCTCAGTCACTTCTCTCTGCGTCCTGTAGAATGTCTGGCAGTTTCCTCTGCAAAGCAGGAACCTGAAGGACCATTTTGCCAAGCAAAGTTCAGTGGTCACCTTTCCATGGGTCCTGCATGTCCAGTCAATCAAGCAGTCCAGGAAAGAACAGTTTCTTGCCCAAATGGCTATTTTGCCAAGGTAAAGATAAACTCCATATGGAGTGACTTTGATGCCCATCCTCCTCTCTGAAGTAAATCGTTGCTCCCAGGAGCAGACATGTCTTACTGTCCAGAAAGTCAAAATTTTTAAAAATATTTTAAATGCCATATTCTGTAGGTCTTTGAAGTGTTTGAAGATTACCTGCCTCTCTGAAATATATCTATGTAAACCTAGAAAACTTAACTAGCATGGTACAAGTTTGACTATCATAGAAGACTAATTATTAATCTGTATTTTTAATTCTCCACTATAATCTAAATGAGTTATATAAACATAATACCTGAAATGATAATAGAAATATATATACAGTATTACAAAATTAAGTTTAAACTTGCATCAATAAACTAAAATCTATACGAATGTAAAACATTTTAAACAAGTTGTTGCTCTTTAAAAGTAGATTCATTAATCTACCCTTTTATCCTATCATCTCTATATCCTATATATCTATATCATATCCCCTTTTCTTTTTTAGAAAGAGATTGCATTTATAATCAACCTGTTTTAAATAAAAATATTGGTTTTTCTGTGTCCCACACCAGAGGGCTCTTCTGATTTGGGGCACAAGAATCTCTTAACCTTTTATTTTAGCAATATGCCTGGGTTTAGAGGGGGAGTGAGCCAATTCCATCTCCAAAGCCAGCTTGGTATATTTGGGAATTTGGGTGAAGCATCTCTTACTTCCTGCTGGAGGGGGGCACTATATCTCATGGGGACACAAAGAAAATTTTAGGCTTAGGGGGTAGTCCGTGAGGGTGTATTGTCTGAGCCAGTTGCCTTGAAACTGTTCTAGATATTGGATCATCTTGGCCATGGTGTCATTGGAGACCTTTCAGGGGGTCCTGACTGGTTCATACCTGATATATCTTAATCTGGAACAAATCCACAGCCTCTGGCTTTCTATGGAAACAAAAGCAGAGCCTCTTTTCCAAAGCAATATATCCTTATATCCAAATTTTGAAGTCAAGGTACCTTTAAAATTCACATTTTGGCACAACTCAACAGCTTTTATAATCAAATGTTTTTCTTTGGTTACGACTATCAAAGAGAACATAATCCAGATTCTCTGTGTGATAGCCATCTTCATGTGGCTTATTTTTTATATTAATTTTACTGTCTCTCTAAAGACTTTATTTTTAAAAACTATCTATTTATTTATATAACTGTATATATTCCTTTTTCTCACTTTTTTAAGCCTACATACATTTTTACATACATTGTAAACTATTTCATCTGAATCTGTCTTATTGTGAACCTATTGCTTTAAACTGCAGCATTCTAAGACTGAAAAGGTTGTGGCTGCTGGCTCCGGCCACTTCAGATTCCCAATATGGCAAGGGTACATTGACTGCCAGCTCTGGGAGCCATCAACTCTCAGAAATAGTGGGTCTATGCTTCTATCAAAGCAGTGTGTAGCCCAGAAACCGCTTTATTTTTTATAATTTAATTTAATTTTACATATGTATTCAGTAGTAATAAATATACAGCATACATAAGAACATGGGGCTGGTCCCCAGCTACCTAGACATGCAGACACATGCAGAGAGAGAGAGAGAGAGAGAGAGAGAGAGAGAGAGAGAGAGAGAGAGAGAGAGAGGAAGGGAGGAGAAAGGAAATGAAAGAGCAGCAGGAGGAA